ATAAATTCCGCGTGTTCTCGGACGGTCTTGAAGACCCTTGATCACTACCGCGATAGAAAGTTTATCTCTAACCTTACAGCAGCACAAAAATGTGGCATGCGGGAAATTAGAGAATTAATAAACTCGAAAACAATAAGATTGTCTGTTAGTGATAAGGGGGGAGATTTCTTAGTTATCCCTCGCCAGCTGGATGTTGAGATAACAGAGCAACATCTTAGTGATGCTACCCTCTATCGCCCATCCTCTGAAAAGGAGTATAAAAGTCAATACCGAAAGCTAAACAATCAATGGGTCAGCGTGGCAAAGGCTGTGGCTTTAAAATCATCGGTTATTTCGCACTTTAAAATCGATAGACCAACATGTCCCGTCCTATACCTACTTATTAAAACACATAAGTTGGTATCACCTGATGATCATTCGTCAACCAATCCGTTATCATTTAAGGTTAGACCGATCATCAGCTGTGTAGACGGGCCAACGGATAGAATAACCTGGTTTTTAAGCCTGATACTGCGTAACAGCCTAACACATGCGAATTCTACTGCATTGAACGATGATAGCTACCAGACAAGAAGTTGAATGAAAGAAATGGCGAAGAAAGATAAGAACGAGTCGTATAGGTAATAGGTGTGAAAAGCTTCGCAAAATTGTCCAGATGTCAAACTAGAAAGTGAAAATATCAGACGCAGTCAGATACAACTTGTTTCATGCTTAGTTGAGATTTTCGAGTCTCTGCACCCAAAGGTTTCTTCTTGTGGTTTTTCTTCCCTGTTTGCATCATGTGTCATACCTTTGTGATTAATCATGACAGACATAAATACTTGTGTTTCTGTAGGTGGAAGCAAATTATAAGAAGAAGGAAGTAAAGAATCGAATTCTCTCTTGTTTCGTATAGTTGATAGTGGCGCCGCCTGTTTGTCAGTTCCAAATAAACGTTGTCCTCTTGATAAGTGATGGATACTGAGCACTCATCACTGTGGTGAAGAGCGTTAAATTGTTCTTCACCGGGAACGTTCGTAGTACTTTCAGCATCGTGTCGACATTAAGCCCTCCTCGTCCGATGGCCTTTAACATCTTCACAGCGGTACACCTAAGAATAATAGACTAAATGAACAGTAATTCGCCTTTATTAGAGTAGAAGTCAGAAAAAGTCAACTAAAGAGATCGTAGCAAGGTGCAATAAGATAAGATGTAAAAGTGGCTGCCCTAACAGGCTATCAAATCTTTGCCAACACACTCTACATGACACAAGATAAAAAGGTGCTCAACTTATTAAGGGGTAACCCGAGAATATGAAGTACTCGACATTTTTATTAGGATGTCCACGTTAAGGTTAAAACAGGACCACGCAGAGCCGCCACCGCAGAGGGAACTTTTTCGAGAGGTGGCAAGACTTTGCATTTCACAAGGATTGGAATTTCGCGTGAAAGCGACCTCGGAAGGCACTGGCAGAAAGACCCCAAGAAAAAATTAGCCATGCGTGCAATGGGTATATTAAGTTGAACTATTTTGCAATATTTTTCGTGAAACCAATAAATTTAAGTATTCAGGTAAGTAAGTATTAAGAACCGTAAGGTTGTACGACACAATCGAAGTAGTAAGGAATTGAAATAAAAAATAAAGAGGATGAAATAGTCTTAACCTTCGCTTGTCCATGTCTTTTCGCCAGTGATCGAAATTCGTTTCCACTAGAAACCATCTACCATCGCCCAGTTTAATCACATCAGCAGCTCGCCAACGATCTCTGAACATCTGTAGAACGGATTTAAAGATTTTTAAACGATTCCTCCCATTTGTGAAGGACATGTAGTCCTAAAGCTTCCTTAAACGTCCATAAGCTCGTTCATGCTTAAAAACGACTTCGCATATATTTCTTCATCTCTATGCTTTCTTACGTTCCTTGTTCCTTCTCATCGTTTTTCTCGGCCGTTGATAACTTCTGGTTACTTAGAAAAGATTCTGTGATAAAGCACTTTAAGCACTAAAAAGTGTCCAAAATGCAGGCCATTGGGAAAATACATGAAACTTCGCTACTAGTGCTCTAAAAATCTTCGATGAAGGGAATATATCATCGGGTTTTGTACTCTAATCTGAAACCGCAGAAAAATGTTAACCGTGAAATTATTGCTCCTTCTCCTTTTTTACGACCTCCAATTATAATGTACGATGGAGAGAACAGATGACGATTTGAGAATTCATCAACAGCCTCCGAATATGTTCTGGACGATGAGAGAACCTAAAAGAACTTCTTCCATAAAATATGAACTCGACCTCAAAGGACTGAGTCAGTTAGTGATTTAATCGGATAGTCTTCTTTCAGTCGGACAGAGATTGTTATTTCAGTTGAGAACTAACTGATAAAATTTCAAATCTCTTTACTCCACAAAACTGACCTCACGAATGAGAAATCCCACTGGTGTACGAAAATGTGTGAAAAACTCCATAAATATATTATAGATGTATGGACCAGAATCTATAATTAGCAAAGCTTTGTTATTAATTCAACAGCAGTGCGCGACGTAATAACGCCCACTTAGGCACAGCGAGTAACTGAGAGTTACCGTAGTCATAAACCTCCTAGTGAAATGAATGTCGTCAGACTCAGACAGAATCAAAATCGTCAGACTGCTTAAGGTAATGAAAAAACAGCAAACTTTGTGAAAAACTTGTATGTTGAATTTTTAATTAATCTAGCTCCTCACCATCGGCTCAATTCTATATTATATTCTAATTTCCACTAAAATATTGTCAAGTGATTTTGTTCGTATTTTTTTTTGAACAAACGCGAGGTGTTATTGTTTTTTGTTCACGATTAAGCTGACGTTTCGGCGAATTTCGCCTTCTTCAGAGCCTGGAAAGGTCAAGTTGATAGCAATCTACTCGGCCAGACGCCTCCATAACCAAACAAAGAAACCCCAAACCAAGATTTCAATCACTTTGAACACAGCTTTGCACACTCACCGCTTTCTATGAGGTTTCCACTAAGTATGTCACGTCGAGACCAACCGCACAGAAATCACGTGGAAGTGTAATGTGCCCCTCACATCAGAAAAGCAGTTTTATATACTGCCCTATATCACGCGTGATAATGAGGCATTCTTCCCTGCGGTTCATTTTCGGATTTCTGGAATTAATACAGAGTGCCTCGAGGGTTTTTCGCGCCTGTGTTCTCGATTCGCGTGCGAGGATCGTGACACATACCTCGAAGTCGTCTCCGTTATGTCTCTGGGTCCTATGCGTGCCTAGCGGGGTATTTGGTCTATTTTTGCCGACTAGGTGTTCTTTCATGCGGAC